CCCCCCTGAACTTCAGCCTGGCCCCAGGGTGGCCGGCGGGCGCTGGAGCGGCACAGGGAACGCTCCACCTCCACCGCAGAGCTGCTGCCCCCGAAACACCTGCTGCTCTTTCGCTTTCCAAATCCATCATATCCTTAATCTCTCCCAGGCAGAGTTTCTCTCATTGTTTATGTACTTTAGGAGCGGCTGAGCAGTGTGCACAGCGCCCGTTTGGCACCAGCCCTGGGGTCTGTTTGTCACCCGCTGCAGGAGGTGGCCCTGGCCACCAGCACGGTCCCCTCGGGGTCCCGGGGATGGACACGGGAGGTTTGTGCCGAGCACAGGGCGGCTGCAGCCCCGGACTGCCCGGGGCTGAGTGGGGCCGAAGGGTGTTTTTTAATTATTGTTTTACTTTCCCCGCAATCTCAGGAACTGCCGGGACTCCTGGGTGATGCTCCAGCTGTTTTGGCTGAGCGGGGCTGGGGTGGCCCTGGCCATGAAGGGCAGCCCGGCACTGCCGACTGCTCTGGCACCTCTTCAGGGCCCTGTCCCCGAGCGAACCTTGCCCCGAGCTCCTGTCACCCATCACCGCCCCCAGCACGGCCCGGCGGTCACCGGCGGGGATGGAGGGCGCTGGGAATGGAGGGGGAGCTGGGATGGGGGCGCAGAGGGGATGGAGGGGGTGTCGGGGCAGCCCTCGGGACTCTCCTCCCTCTCCAGCCCGACCCCTGGGGTCTCTGTGTGGTCCCTGACTGCCCCGGGGGAGGGGGCACAGGGGGGCTCCTTGGGGGGCTGGATCCCTGCTCCTCACCCTGCCTCAGGTCAGGGCTTCTGACTCCCTCCTCCTCCTCCCCGAGCCCAGGGAGGGGGGACAGGGAGGAGTGAGGGTGCCCCACGACCCTTCCTGCCCTCATTCGGGCACCTCCTCCATCCCGAGCACCAGCTGCTCCTGGTGCAGCCCCTTGCCCCTCCCCGGATAGGATCTGCCTTCTCTGATGTGCAGCAGCAGCAAAACGTGAAAGCAGAGGCTGGAAAAACATCCCCAGGATGTTGTTGTCCCCAGGGTGCCAGCCCTGGTGCTGTGGCACGTCCCCAGGACACTGGTGGCACCTCCACGAGGCCACACACGTGTCCCACAGGGATGCTCATGTGAGCCAACCCAAGCGCAGGGTCCAAGGTCTCCCCTGCCCGGACATCCCTGGGGCAGCTCCACAACGAGAACGCCCTGGGAGAAGGCCCAGAGCCTCAAATTCTTCTGTGTGACAAGAGGATGGTGCCACTGGGACAGCCGGACACGCGGTGGCCCTGTCACTGCTCCACAAGGCTGGCTCTCAGCCATCCCCCCCTGCAGAAGGAAAAGGCAGCAAACAGCCCCAGCAGAAACCAGCTGCGCTTTAATGGCTGATCCTGGGGAAAGCTGTGGTGGGACTGGACTCGTGGCAGCATTTTTATATTTCAAGCCGAGGGAGAGACAGGAATTGTTACGAATGAATGACAATGGAGAAGTCCCCACACCCCAAAGGCACCGTGGATGTGAGCTGGGCACAGCCCCAGCCCTGGGACAGCGCTGGCCAGTGGCAGCAACACTTTCTGCTCCCTACCTGATTTCTGGATGAGGGACCCCACTGGGCTCTTCAGGCAGGCCCCTCCAATCCTGGGGGTGCTGCACTCTCCCCTCCCACAGGAGCAGGATCTGGGGGCTGGGGAGCTCCTGGCTCTGCCCTGCCTGAGGCTGCAGACCCAGACACGCTCCTGTGGGGCTCCAGAGCAGAAGCCCCAGACCTTTGGCATGACAGAGGTGCAAGGCACAGTCAGCACATGAAGGGCAGCACGTCCCGGCCAAATCCTCCCAGGGGAAACTCCCCCACAGGCCCTGCTGGAAGCACTCCCCGTGTCCCTGCTGAGCCAGGGGCCTGTCTGAAACACCTGGGCCAGACAGGAGGAGCCACAGCTGCTCCCAGTTTGTCACCCAGGCAGGGGAAGCCGGGCGGGCAGCATTCACTGGAGGAGCCCCAGCTGGGTGCTGAGGAGCCATCGGGGAGCTGCGAGGATGCTGAGGTGCACGGGCAGGGCAGTGCTGGTTGTGCTGGTGAGGGGATAAGAGGAGAAGGCCTCCCGGGCCGGCCTAAGCGCTGGGGAAGATGCGGATGCGCTGGGCGATGTCCTGGCGGCACAGGGGACACGAGAGCAGCCGCTCGCAGCAGCCCCGGCAGCAGCAGACGTGGCCACAGGGCAGGAAAATCATCTGGGGCTGGGGGAGACACAAAGAGGGGACACGGAGAGTGTCGCTGGCCCTCAGCAGCAGCAGCACGGGGGGAGCTGGGGAGCAGCCGGGGGGTCCCTGCGCCCCCATCTCCATCCCCGCGGGAATGCGGGCCCTGGGACACGGGGAGGGAGGAGATGGGACACGGGGAAGGACACGGGGCTGGGCTGCACTGAGCAGCCTCCATCCCCTCCCTCCATCCCCGCTGTGGGGTCCGGCTGTGCCCGGAGCCGGCGGGACGAGCAGTCGAGCATTGCCAGGGGACACAGCCCTGGGGATGCGCCGGGTCCCTCCCTCCCTCTGCCCCCAGCCCCGGGCTGTGCCGGCTCTCACCTCCTGCTCCAGGCACACAACGCACTCCGACTTCCTCTGGTCCCAGGGCAGCGGTGGGGCCGAGGGGCTCGGGGGCTCCTCCAGGGGAGCGCTGGGCTCTGGGGCCGCAGGGACCCCGGTGTCCCTCGGCAGCTCTGCAAACGCAGCCAGGGCTGAGACCCCCCAGCTCTGCCCTCCCCACACACCCACGGGAGGGGTCTGACCCACAGAGCTCCCTGCTCAGGCTCAGGGACCTGCTGTGAGTGTAAAATGGGGGTACCTGGGGTGGTGGTGGCCGCAGCCAGGATCTCCTGAGCCCGCCTGAGGATGGCACGCTGCAGACCAGCCTCTGCCACACCGAGCTGTGGGGCAAGAGGAGGGTGTTGGCCCCAGAGGGACACTGCAAACTCCTGGGCATTGCTGGCAGGATGTGACCATGCCAAGGAAATCCTCTCTGCCAGGAATTCCCTGCTGCTATTTCCACTACAGAGAGCATCCACAGGGACAGGCAGAGCAGCACGGGCACCTGTCCTTGTGGGGACGTGACACAGCAGAGCACCAGCAGCACTTTGTCCTGCCAGACCCACAGCCACAGCTGGGCTCTGGACAGGGACAATCCCTGCTGGTGCTGTCCCACACTGTGGCTCTGCTGTCTCGTACCTTTTCCAGGTCACTGGCACTCATGGTGCCGAGCGTTTCCAAGGATATTCGGTGGTGAGCGAAGACTGGCACGTACTGGTGAGCAGAGAGCTCCAGCAGCAGGGTCACCAGCTGCTGCTCCAAACCCTTCTCCTGTAAAACATGGAATGAGCTCCCAGATTGCAGCCCCCAGGGAGCTCCCCTCACACATGGAAAAACCCCTCTGACAATCCTTTGGGATTGGGTCTGTGTGTGGGGTCTGTGCACTGCTCCCAGCCTTAGCTCAGGGGCTGTCCTCGCTCCCCCCAGGGCCACAGAGGGAGCAGGAACAGCAGGAGCACCTGGAGTTTCAGGGAGAGGGGCTTCTGGTTCAGCAGGCGCTGGTACTGGATCAGCCAGTAGTTCTCCTGTTTGGTTTCGCTCTTTGCCTCCATTTCCAGCTGAAAGAAAAACTCACTCATTCAGCAGCCCGAGGGAACGTGGCCAGGGGGGGTTCAGGGGTGGCTGTGCAGGAGGGAACCCCAGCCTGGGCAATGCAGGGCCCTGCCAGAGCACTGTGAAGGGGCTCAAACAGGCACTTCTGGCTCCTGCAGGTTGTGCATCTCCCTGCTCCCTTTGCCCCAGGCCCTGTGGTCTGGTCTCCAGAGGCTCAGGAAGAGTCTGGAGATCTTCAGGATTGCAAGACTACAATTCCCATCCCTTGTGCTCATCCTGCTGGCCACTGCCTTCCCAGCAGGGTCAGTGATGGTGATGATGGTGCCCCATGCTGCACCAGAGTGCTGCTGTGCCCCTCAGGATGACAATAGAACCTCCAGGGGCTGAGCTCTGCGTCTGGACACAGCCCTGCTCTGCTCCCCTTCACTCCCACACTGAGCCATGGACCCTCCCTGCAGCCAACACAAATGCTCATTGCTCATTTCATCAAAAACCCATCCTCAGCACTTCATGAAGGGCTTCATTTACCAGGATTTGCTGCAGTTCTTCCTCCCTTTGCTTCTTCTCCTTGAGCAGCTGCTGCAGGAGGCAGCTGAGTGCCCGGCGCTGCTCCGTGACCGCCTCCTGCAACAGGAGAGCTCTGGCAGCCACATCCCCACGCTGCTGCCACCCTGTTCCCTTCCCAGCAAAGCCCCTGCCAGTCCCTGTGGCTGTGCAATCCCTGTGCCCCACAGCTTGGATCCTCTCCTAGCAGCTGGTGGGGCAGCTCTGTGCTGCAGCAGCTCCTCCTCACACCACCACGAGTTCAGCCAAAAGGATTCATGGTCCCCCTCCAAGAGTGACACAGAGGAGCTGTGTGAGTCCTGCTAGCACAACCCAAATCTTACACCTGAAGGATCCAGGACAAGGCTGGGAGGCACTGATGCCTGAAGTCAGCACTTACCACAGCTCTGACTGCCCTGGGTGTTTGTCACTGATTTTGGGCTGACTAAACCTGACCTGGCACACGGCACAACTGATGCAAAGCATCATAAAACAAAATTCAAAGCCAAGCTGCTGAAGCTAAACTTGGTATTCCTCAATGTGTGACTGCTGATGATGTCAAAACCAAAACACAGCACAATGTAAGAGGACATGCAATGCACAGCAGGAAGGTGTTTTTGGGACAGCCAACAACTGGATTGCAAAATCCTTCCCCACCCAGCACAGCTGGAACTGCCCATCCCTATCAGGGCTGCTCTGTCTCTGGGCTGAGAATGCCTGGGGATGTTTAGCAGCAGCAGCGATGTCCCACATTCCCAGGACACAGAGGGACAGAAGGATCTTCTGACTAAGCATAAAACCATCTGGAAACTGCCAGGAGCGAGGGAAGCAAGAGGAGCAATCCCAGAGCAGAGAGGGTGGGGGGCAGCCCCAGAGCCCCACGTACCTGCAGCGTCTCTGTGTCCAGTTCTTGCCTCTTTAATTCCAGCTGTGTCAGCTGCAATAACTCTGTTTCTATTAATTTAATCTAAACAGAAGATGAAACATTTTTTACTGACACTTAAAAAATGACTTTAATTTATGCTGTTTTAAAATGAGGTCTGACTGGCAAGGGCAGCACTGCAGAGCACCCAGAGGTTGGGGGGAGCTGCTCGTGCCCTTTGCTGATGTGTGTGCTGAGGGTCCCTCTTCCTTCACCTGAGGAGCTCTCTGCCCCCCTCCAACTGTCTCTCTACTCTGAACACTTCCTGCTCAAGTCTGGAACCTCACTGCAATCAGCTGGTGCACTCAAACCTTTTGCAGCCACTCTGGAATGCAGAGTCAAGGCCCTCCCAGCAGAGCTCAAACCTCAGACTCCTGGACAGTGCCCTGGTTTCCAGGTGCTCCAGCAATCCCAGAACAACACCTGAGGCAACTGAGGCACAGAGAGGTGAAGTGAGTTGTCCAAAGTCCCACAGCAAAGCCAAGATGAGAGCCCAGCTCACCCCTCTGCCAGCTCCCATCCCAACTGCTGAGCCCAGGGCTCTGTCCCTGCAGCACAGGGTGGGAGGGGTCCCGGGGGTGAAAGGTCCAGCCCAGGCATCAAGGAACAAACTCCCTTTGATCACAGAGCATGAGGGAGAAAAATGCAGGGCCCTTATGGTGAACTCAGGCAATGATGGGGAGATGTCAGACAGGTCACAGGCTTCCAGCAGAGACTGGTCACTGGGGCACTCAAAATATCCAAACCCTCAAGTTTATCCACCAAATCCTGACCTGAGACTTTTCTGCTGTGGCAGATCAGGAGAGGGAAGATTCGGGAGCACTGTGTCAGAAACCAGCAGCTCTCCTTGCTGCCTCCACCACTGCTGCCTTCCCACCCTCCTGCATCATCCACTGCCACTTGTCCATCTTCCTGCATCATCCACCACCACTTTCTCCACCAGCTCTTGCTCTTCCCCCGACTGCATCACTGCACCTTCTGTGGAATGGAGCTCAGAAAGGCAGGCTGAGAATGGGAAAGAAAAGGTGAACTTATGGCTCAAGGTGCAGCTCTGATGTGCTGGATGGAGATGCAGTGGACTCATGTGGAAGCAGCAGCCCTGCCAAATGCACAGCCTGCAGGAAATCAGAGGTGCAACTGCAGATCACCCCCAGAGCCAGTGCAGGTCTGTCCTCCAGTGCTTCACCCACCAGTGCTGAGGTGATGGAAGGAATGGTGATTCCATCACCTCCAGGAATCTAAAACCTGCTTTGACACACCCTCCCTCAGAGCTGGGGTGTAACCAACACCGCCCAACTCTGTTCCAGAGCTCTCCATGTTCTCAGACCATGCTCTGTGCTTCGTTCTTCCTCCCAGGGTCCCATCAAACAGCAGGATGAGCTGAGGAACTGGTTGCTCTTTCCTGGGTTGCTGACTCACCTGGTTCCTGATCTGCCTGTGCATAAGATCCTTCTTCACTTGGAGAGCTTCAAAGGCAGTTTTTTGCATCTCAATCTAAGGCACAGGCAAAATCCTGCTTAGTGAGGTGGTTGGTGCAGTTGCTGATGGGCTCAGAAGCTGCTGCCTTGCAGGGACTCAGGTACAAGACCCTGAGTAATGCTCAGTGCAACAGTGTCCTGAAACACAGCTGAGAGCCCAGCAGGTAAAGCCCACACTGGAGACACACAGGGTCTTAAATTCACACAGAGAAATATTAATGTTCTTCAAACCTTCATCTGGAATGCTCTGTGTGACCCCACCTCTCCTTCAGCAGCACTGAGCAGCCAGGCTGTGCTGCAGCAGGGCACAGCTACCCAGCACTTCTGAGAACAAACTTTGAAAATACTTGTCCCAAGTGCCCCAGGAAACCTGCCAAAAGACAGGACTTCTGTCTCAAAATCCCCACTTAATCATCATGGCAGTTTTGCTTCCCATGATCTGTGCTTCTGTCTTTTCTGAAAATTTGCTGTCTAGATAAAAACATTTTTTTTTTCAACCACCCCAATTAGTTTGTCAGAATAGCAGATATTTTCAAAGTTTAGCATGTAGTGTTAAATTAAATCACTTCTACAAGCAGCCCAGCCACTGCTGCTCCTGTGACCCACTCTGGACCTGCTTTCCCTCAATCCCCCACAAGCAGTTTTCTCCTTTTCCTACCTGCTGCAAGATCTGACTGACAGCTTTGTTCTGATCCAGCTGCTGCCAAGCCAGGATCTGCTGGAACTTCTGATCCATCTCAGCTAGGCTGCAAGGAGATGGATGTGCCACGGAGTTAATGCTGGGTCTGGGACTCTTGGGGTGAACAGAGGAAAAGCAGGGAATGGGGAATGCAGGAGGAGGAATTTCTTACTGGCCAGAGGGAAGAGCTGTGGCACTGCACAGCTGAAGGCCACAAATTTAACACCTCCTTCCCTACACCCAAACCAAACCTGCACCACAGGCTCCTGCGGACCTGTTGAGCAGGTCACAGGCTCACAAGGCTGTTTTTGGTCAGTGCCAGATGTTGCCAGATAAAAATTTCTCATCTTGTCGTAAACAGTGAGCCAGGATGCTCTTGGTATGTGCAGCAACACTTGTGTACTACTTATGCACACACAGCATCCTTGAGGCAGCCTGGAAGGTGAGGGGAGGAGTTCTGGGCTACAGTTTGGCACTGAAGTGCCTCAAAAAACATGAACACAACTGGTCTAACTCCATCCTCCACATTTAGCAGAATGTATAAGGCAAAATAAGTGCACAAAAGTGACAGTTCCCCCAAAGTGTGATTAATGTGCAAATTGTGGTTGTTAGAAGGTGGCTCATTTAAGGGAGTCTGACAGTTTAATTTGCACTGTCCTGTGCTGTTACAGCTGTCCTGCTGCATTTCAACAGCTCCAGGGGTTCCTGGTTCACTTATGGGAATTACACTGCTGAAAAAAGGGGATTCAACAGCAGCACCAGCCCCAGACACCCCCTGCACCTGGAGCAGGCCTGGCTGATGAGGTCCTGCCGACGAGACTCAGAGGTCATCTGGAGGAGCTTGTTCTTGTAGGTCTCAGCCAGCATCTGCTGCATGGCAGCTGGGGACAGAGGGGACAGAGGGAAGAGAGGGGCTGTCAGTCCCTGCCTGGCTCACCCACCACTGCTGCTGCAGTCACTGCAATCAACAGTGGCTCCTCTCTCATTCTCTGGCTCTTGCCATGTCCCTGATTCCAGAGCACACCCACCCACCTGAGACCTGTGGCTCTCTGAGGAAATTCTGCCTGTGCCTGCACCTCTTCAGTGCTCAGAGAAGCACTGCCTACCAACCCTGGGATCACAGAATCTCCTGGGAAGTAGGAAGGGATCCACAGGATCCCCCAGCCCTGCCCAGACCCCCCAACATCCCAGCCTGGGCATCCCTGGAGCTCTGGCAGCCTCGGGGCCGTGCCCATTCCCTGGGGAGCCTGGGCAGTGCCAGCAGCCTCTGGGGGAAGAACCTTGCCCTGCTCTGCAGCCTGAGCCTGGCCTGGCCCAGCTCCAGCCGTTCCCTGGCTGCTGTCCCTGTCCCAGAGCAGAGAGGAATTGGGCTCTGCCAGTCTTAGGGGGACAGCACTTTCTCTTTCCCTAGAAAAACACATCTGGTCATGGTCACCATGAGCAGAAAAGGCTTCCCAGCACCATTCTTATTCAGCAGACAGGAACCTGATGGACTAACAGGGAGCTTGGCTGCTGCCTCATAGAGAACAGGCAGGGAGCTGCAGGTCAGCTGTGGCACATGGGCAGTGCTGCTCCCTGTGCCCACCAGGGAATGTCAGAATGTGTGTGCCAGAGCATCTCTCACGTGGTTGCCACCTACCCAGGGCATCCAGAGGAATCAGGTCTTTAGAGAATCACAGAATCATTAAAGTTGGAAAAGACCTTTAAGATCATCAAGTCCAACCATCACCACCACTGTGTTCACCACTAAACCATGCCAAGTGTCACATCCATGTGTTTTTCCAACACTTCCAGGGATGGTGAGTCTACCACTGCCCTGGGCAGTTTGTGCCAATGCCTGATCACCCTTTCCATGGAAAAAAATTGTAATATCCAACCTAAGCCTTCCCTGGTACAGCCTGAGGTTGTTTCCTCTTGTCCTATCAGAGAGGCTGACCCCCATTTGGATATACCCTTGTTTCAGGGAGTTGTAGAGACTGAGAAAGCCTCCCCAGCACCTCTTCTTCTCCAGGCTGAGCCCCCTCAGCTGCTCCTGGTGCTCCAGAGCCTTCCCCTCATGTCCCCAAAGAGCTGTCTGGACTTACAGGCCACTTCCCTCCTGCGCAGCTGCTCCGTCTCCTCCTGGGTTATTGCCATCAGTTGTTCCATTCTGATTCTGCCAATGAACAACAGTTCAGACACTCCTTCAAAAGAGTCCTTTTCCTCTACCCACCCAGCTCAGAGCCTCAACCCTGCCCAGGAAAGCTGGGCTTACCAGAGACACCAAAGCCTCCGTGATTTTTTGGTGAAGAACCTCTAAGTTTTATGGGACACAACATAAAACTTGCTCTAAACCACAGGGACAGTGGTTTTCAACAGGGAAGCTGATTTTTCTGAGACAGAACATTACCAAACACTGCCAGACCCTTCCTTGGCTTTCACCAGGTCAGGAGCTGGTGTGGCTGGGGAACAATCTGACAAACAATTTTGATGTTCACCCAGTTTACTGGGCCACAGCACAGCTGGCTGAAGGGAGGGGGCAGCTCACAGGCAGGGCAGAGCTGGGGACAGTCACTTTTGGTGGCAGAGCTAGCTCAGAGTGATGGCTAAATGGCAGATTTGCTTCCCACCTACTCCTCCCAGCCTGGATACGTTGCTGGAACCCCTCCATAACTGCCTTGCCTGCCAGCAGATGGAAGATCTCTGTTGTTCCTTGATACTGGAATACAGAGTTTTGTCCCCAAACTCATTATTTAGGACCACCCAGAGATGAAAAAGAGGTAAAATCTCCCTGTCACTGGGTGTGCCAGACTGGGTAGGACCAGGCACACTGAGCCCAGTGTCTTGTCTCCAACAGTGACCAGAGCCAGCTGCAGGTATGAGATGAACCTCACCTGACTTAGGGTGGATTCAGACTGGTGACTCTGAAAGGAAACTCCCAGCCCTCCTTCCAGCTTCTCACCCCTTTTCCAGACAAGTTTGAGAGACTCACCTCTCATTCTCCAAGGACTTCAAAATGTCTGAACTTTGTTTTTGCCTAAAAAAAAAAAAAAGATAAAACAAAGGGTTTTCATCAAGCTGAGTAAAACATCCTGGTGCCCCAGGGGGCAGAATCACAGTGTCACAGAATATCCTGATCATCCAACAAGGGTCATCCAACTCCAGGCTCTGCACAGGACAACCCCATGTGCCTGAGAGAAAATAACTTTGCTGTCATGCACAGCAGAGCAGCTTTCAGCAGCTGGGCACCTCCCATCAGCACCAGCTCACATGGAGACCCAGCAGAGACAGCCAGGGGCACCTTAATGATTGTACCTTCCATGAGGTATTCAAATTTCTTCCACAGCACTGCAAAATCCCAACATCACACATCTATGAAACAGGCTTTTTTAAGATGTAAATTCCATGTGCTTTAAACTGGCAGTCCAGGATCAGCAGCTCCTCTGGACATTGATCCTGACCAGCTCCCAAGCACTCAGGGGTGAAATGAACCACTCAAAACAACATGGCAAAAACAAAATCAGAGAAAGATCCCGTGGAACCCCACCTCTGGCTGTCCTCCAGCAGCTTCTGGATGCGGCTGGCAGTGCCCTGCTCTGTGTCCTTCAGCTGCTGCAGCAGCTTCAGCCTCTCCTCCTCCAAATAGCGCTGGTGCTTCGACAGACCCTGCTCCAGCCTCTGCTGCTCCTGCCCAGAGCAGGGGAAACCAGGAGAAGGTGGTGGGCTTGGGGAAGGCAGTGTGTGCCCTGCAAGGGCCCTGCCCAGCACACCCACCTCTCTCACTGTCTGCAGGATCTCATCCTTGTGGCTGTTGAGCTGCTGCACCAGCAGTGCCTGTTCTCGCTGCCCCATGCCCAGCCGCCGCTCGAAGTCCAGCTTCTCCTGCATTTTTCTTTCCTGAGAGGAATAAGAAGATGAAATGACAGGAATGGCAGGAATCTCCTTCCCCAGCAAGAACATATTCTGGCAAATAGCTAAAGCAAGGCACAGTAGTCCCTTGCAGAGATGAAGGGAAGCCAAATGGCAAACAGGAGGCTTGTCTAGGGGAGGGGAATGTTCTTAGCAACCCAAAAACTGGAAGCAGAAGCTGCTGCCTTCATAAGTCTTCAAACTCTTTAATGTCATGAAACTGAATTCCCTGGGCATTGACTGATACCAAACCAGCCAATGTAAACATGTGGACCTGTGTAAACATGCCCAAAATGCAGGTTGGGTTCAGCTCCACATGGCACAGGACTTCTTTGTCTGAAGGAGGCAGCCAAAGCACAGGGGAACTGCAAGGCAGGAGCTTCTGATTATTTCAGAGTGAGCCTTGCACAGGGGAAGAGACAGAGACCAGGGAAACAAAAAGAACAAACTAAAAGTGCAGCCAAATGAGGGGAATGAGAAACAAAATAAGAAGATGGAAAACAAAAACCAGAAGCAGACCCATGCTGCAGAAGAAGCAGTTGCAGAACTTTACCTTCCTCTTCTCATAATCCAGGAATTTGTTCTGAAAAATAAGCAATATCAGCAGATATTTATTCCCAGGAGTACTTTTTTGTAGATATTACTAATCCACAGTACAACCTCCCCTGAGTGAAGACATCAACCAAAGGCACAGGAACACAGGCCCAAAGTCCAGTCACTCAGGCTTCTCCAGGGACAAAGCCATTGACTCTGCACTTGCCAAAGAGCACAGGAATTAGCACAGTTACCACAACTATTGTCTTCCCTTTCCCAGGTAGGGCTGAACATGGCTAGCACTTGTCTGGGAAGCACAAGGTTCATCTGCAGTTTGCTGTCCCTCCAAAACCAGATGTTGCACACTGCACATTCCATGTGCCACTGCCACCCCTGTCCCTTGGCTCCATCACTGCTTTCGAGGATGGAGACAGTTCCTGGGGATGTGTCTTCCAGGGGTCAGCTTGGTGACACCAGCCCCAGCTCAGGAAGGAGATGAGCCACCCTTACACACTCTGTGCCTGGCTGCTCCCTTGATCCCAAAAGACACAACTCATGGAGGGGAGGGTGATGAGGGACGATGTGCCAAGTGCTGTGAGATGCTTTGGTGGAGGACAGAGACAAATCCCAAACCCCCTGGTGCAGGGGAGCCTCACCTGCCACTCACTCTCCTCCTGCAGGTACTTCTCCACTGTCCTGTCCACCCCATCCACTGAAGTTCCTCCTCCATCGCTCTCCAGCGTGGGGAGCAGGCACTGTGAGGGAGGGTAGTATGGAATTCCACACTCTGGAAGGCACCAGACACAAAATAAGAACACAAAGGGCTCAAAGACCTCCTTGGCACCGTGGCTGGTGTGTGGGACTGCTTCCAGCTGTGCTCCCTCTGCCCACACACCAAGGAGTGCTTGGCAGGATGGACAAAGAGCTCTGTACACTCCATCCCCACCAGGACAAGGATCTGCTCAGACAGAAACACATCCTGCACACAGCTGCAGGCTTGGTGACATCTGCAGGGCTGCAAATGTTACTGCCCAGACCAAAATAAATTATGACCACGCCTTGCAAGGCACTTCCCCTGCATAAAACCTCCACCAAAGCTCACTGTCTGTACTAAACACAGTGTCTACAAACTTACTATAAACTCAGATTTCCTTTGCCATTTGAGTTTTCCATCTGTTTTCATCATTCTCATAACAACCTGCAGGTCCTTCCTCAGAGAAAACGAGGGCAGCAGGGACCTGAGTGACTCCTGAGTCTCTCCTTGTCCCAAGGCAGTGACAGCTGGACAATGCCTAATCCTCCCACAGGAGAAAATCCAAATAACCACTGACTTCTTATGGTCACTGAGCCAGCCTGAGCCAGCCACTCTGATTATTAACAAACCACCCCACAGGTCAGTGTGGCAGGGCTCAGGGAAGGACTCGTGTTGTGCTGTTTGCCAACAAAGACAGGTAACCAGGTGTGCAGGGCATCAACAGCCACCCCAAGCAGAGCCCACACAGTGTCTGTCCTCCAGAAATGCCATCTCTGGGCACAGCCCAGGTGCTCCTGGCTTACCCTTGCAGAGGAACTTCTGGATGGCCTCTGTACCCTCGCTGCAGATGTCAGGGGGTGGGTAGGTCATGGCAGAGGCATCCAGGGTCAGCGTCTCCAAAAGAGAACACACAGAGCTCCAGGTTATTCTGAGTCCAGAGTCCAGCTGCAGTTCTCCTTGCAGCTCTCCAAAATCTTATTTAATGTTACCCTAAATCCTGACACAAAAGCGAGGCTGTATTGAATCCCTGCTGGGTGTTGGGCACCTTCCAGAGGTGACCCCACTGTCCTTTATTTGGAAGCTTCTGAGCTGGCCACTCATGGGCACATTCCCCTCATGCAGGCACTGGCATTTCATGTTTAGGTACCAGAGGTGAGAGCACTTCTCAGCTACAGACATTCCCTACTCCATGTCAGGGAGCTGGAGCCCTTCAGCACAGAAGTGGGGGTGACACAAGGGCATGGAGAGCAATCCCATAAAGAATGAGGGGAAGAGTCACTTGTTTTGTCTTACTGTGGTCACCAAAAGGACCTAATGCTGCCTTTTGTAGGGAAGGGCATAGCAGGAAGGCCTAGAAAGGAACCACTTTACCAAACACAGGGGGCAAAGCAGCAGAGATGCCTCAACTCAGGCTGTCCTCATGAGAAGTGAAGCAAAATGTTGTGTGTGGAACAGGAGAACATTTATTCACACCTTCCTGCTGGTGTCTGAGCCAGCCCTGTTGCCTCACACTTGCACCATTTAGTACTGACAGGTTTGGCAGGCAGAAGGCAACAAAAATCTTGCTGCTTTCCCCACTCTGAATGTGCACTTCAGGGAGCCATTAACCCATGGAAGCTGATAATGAGCTGGAGATCTACCAGGGTGACAGAGGCACAGTTTGTGCTCTGGCAGTTAAAATCCAGGGGTTCACTCCAGGGGATCACTTTTGTCATGATTAAATGACAAAATGATCAGAATGAAATGGCAAAATGATCAGATTTAATGGTAAAAATGATGAGGAAAGACCAGAGCAAGTACACTGAAGTTATTTTGGACAGTGTGAACAGCTCTGTTACAATCCCCTGCAGCACATCCTACACATTCCCCTCGTGGGCTGGATTTACTCCCAGCTGAGGGAAGCAGGCTGGGAAGGGCTGAGTTACCTGCAGGCTGCGGGCGTGGGCCAGCACCCGGGGCAGCTCCTGCAGCACATTCCCACTGACATCCAGAGCCTGCAGGCTCCGCAGGCTGCTCACACTCCTGGGCAGCTCCCTCAGCTTGTTCCCTACAGGGGTAGAAAAAGCCAGTTAAAACCATGGAACCTTCCCAAAACGGGAGCCAGCAAGCTCATCTGCTCCAACACCAACCCATAACCACACACATGGCTCACTTCCACGGGGAGGGAGCTGTCCCAGGTCACACAGGGACTCAAAGGATGTCACTGCCCACCAAGGGCAACTTGGGATCCAAATCTCCTTCTCAGCTGAGGTCACTGCTGCAGGCTGGATCTGTGCTCTTTATCAGGTGAATTATTTGTTACATGGAATGTTCTTCCCTTGGTCTAAGTCCCAGGGATGGGAGGAAAGGGACTGAGTGTGAGATTGGGCTCAGAGCCCAGATGCTGCAGACAGACAGGCAATGACCTGAGCTGCCCTTCCAAGTTCCTCACCCTCCATTGCCTTCCCTGTTCCACCAACAGCTCCACGTAACTAAATCTCCTTTTTCTCACAGATTTATGGCACTGCATAGCTGGAAAATGCCCAGAGTCTGGAAAAGAGGTGTGACCTTTGTGCTTGGGCTGTGCAGACCTGTGGGGATACACAGGTTCACAGGAGCCAGCTCTGGGTGTTGGGGACCCAACTGTAATTTGATTTATCTGGCTGAGTGCTCTGCTTGCTTTAGTGGAGGGCTTGGGGCTGGCATATTTTCTGCTTAGATCATTTCTCCTGCCTTTCCAACTACTTGAATTCAAACCTTCTTCATGTTCTTCCTCAGCATTCAGAATGTAAACCCTGTGGTGCTTAGCTTGGTTTAAAGGAATAATTGCTAATGCAGCTCAACATGACCAGATAATAAATGTGCTTTACCCAGAGCAATCCCATTCCATACCTTTCACATTGAGGACCTGGAGCTGGGCAAGGTCTCCTATAGATTGTGGAAGACTTTTTAAAAGATTCTTTTCAAGGTTTAGGACCTAAGATATTAACAGAAAAGATATTCAAAATATTCATCCAATACTCATGTCTCCTACACATTTGTGCTGCTGGGACTCTCAGGCCCAGAAGTACAGCTTGAAATTGGTGGTAGATAACACTTTCAGGGTTAAAAAAGTGTATTTTCCACCAGCCCTGGATAAAGGGCATGCAAACTACCAGGGGCAGCGAGAAACCCTGCTCACCACCAACATCTGGTGCTGGATCCAGATGCAGGAACTGGGAATTGGAGTGTCCAGGGCAGCCCTCCCCAACTCCAGCTCCCACAGGCTGAAGCTAAAGCTGTCCCCTGAGCAGAGACCCTGAGTGTGCCCTTACACACTCTCTGGGTTCTCAGTGTAACCACACCAGGGAGAACAGCAGAACCTGAATGTCTGGGGAGATCAACAGGACTCTGCTTGGCCATGGGACCCACTTGGGCTGCACCAAGCTGGGAGAACATAACCAAGCCTGGTTCTTTCTGCTCTTCTCCTGCTCCTTTCCTCCTTTTTTCCTGCTCTCCCTCTAACCAGCCAGTTCAACAGCAACAGTCAGGGTGATGTTATGGATCTGATGAAATGGCATCACCACAGAAGCTGTGATTAACTGTAAACCAAAGAGTGTAACCCCAAATCCCTGCTGTCCCCAAACATGTCCTGTACAGACACCTGGGATGCAGCTGCAAATCTTTTACCTGAAGAGCTGCCAGCTGACCAATATCAGCAGGAAGTGATGCCAGCTGGTTGTCATGCAGATCCAGAACCTGGAATGTCACCAAATAAGGTTGGGAACAAAAGTTCATGAATTATCTCACAATGAAAATTACTCTTCTTCCAATGTGACTTTGAAAAGCAGCTCAAGTTTTCCAGGGGACATAGGTACTTCATTCTTGGAGGTCTTTTGGAAATTCAGGTATCAGTAACAAACAAGAGACAAGGGAGAGCAGTGACACTGAGGGAGCTGTCCCACAAAACTGGAGGAGCCAACTGGATAAATCATCTCTTAGAACCAGGCTGGCAGAAGGAATTTCTGCAGGATCAATGAGCTGAACTGCTCCAACAGCAGTGCAGGGAGAGGGTAGGGCTAGACCTGGAGACCTCTCTCCTGCCATGTGGAGCTGCTGAAATGACTCTGCCTCTTGGGGAATCCCAGCACGATGGTGATACAGCCCTGTCACACCCACCACCAGTTGGCTTCCCATTCCAGTGACCCTCCAGAGCAGGGCAGAAATGGATCTACCCCACAACACACCCAGCTCTGCCTGCCCACCAGCGAGGCTCTGAGGAGGAAACTGTGGGATTCTGAAGGGGATAAATGATAAATGATAAATGATAAATGATAAATGATGGTGATGCTACACCAGCCACTCAGTGTCTGCTGTCAGTCAGCCTGGGAGGTGAACCCACAACAGGCAGGTGTCACACCTTGGTACTGACCCCTGGCAAAGTCAGTCAAGAAGGGATTTACTTGGGCTGGTGTGTTTTAATGCAGCTCAAATCCAAGGATCACAGGCTGCAGTTGAACTGTTAAGAATCACAGTTACCTTTAGAGTTATGAGACTCAGGAGGCTGCAGGACTTTGGAACTAAAGATGTCAGATTATTTGTATGAATAATCAGCACCTGGGGAGGAAAAACCCCATTGACACATAAACACAGGTGCACATAAACACAGAACAAGCACTTTTGTTGAGATTGAACTGGGGAGGCTGTATAAGAGCTCAGTATCTTATTCACTGTCATATAAAGCATTAAAGTAGGAAATGGATTGTCAGAGAAGGTGAAACATTTTACATGAGATCTAGATTTTTTTCTCACATGACAAATACCCCTAGATGGGCTAAGACAGGACCACCTCATCTTTCCTGGCAGAAGTTAACTTTAAAATACACAGACAGGACTGATCTGACTCAAACTGCTCTCTATGTAGTATCACACATAAAACAACCACACTCAGTCATTTCAAACATGACAGTAACACTTAAGCATATTAATAGAATTATTTAATAATATCTGGTTACAACATTACCTTTTTTTGCAAGACCTTGCAAGTTGCAAAGACCCCATAAGGAACCTAAAAACAATTTAAAAATACTCATGTCAGACTTCTATTTTAAGCAGTTCTACACTGTCCACCCGTAAAGTGTGAACAACTTGACTGAAAATAAAAAGTGATGCTTAAAATTACTGGTCCCTGATTTTGGCCCAGTACTTCTCAGGGAGCTTCCATTTAAACAGCTTCCAGTGGCTCTCCATGACACAGCAGTGTCACAGAACAGGCTGAGGCTGTGGCAGGAGTTCAAGCTTTGTGTGGTTTACTATGAGTTCAGGCAAAGGTTCAGTTTAGTCATCACACAAATGCATTCTGTGGTTTGGCAACCTCATGACCACAGTGCAGTGTGCTGAGAGGGAAATGTGAGCACCAGGCAGGACAGAGTGTCCCTGAGCTGCCAGGAGAGGGGCAGGCAGAACAAGGAGATGCCAGTTCAGCCCCTGCCAGGCACAGCTGGGCACTGTGACCTTCCCTGTAGCACAGCAGCAGCCAGACTCCTGTCCATGGTTAACTGTAAAACCAAACTGATGTCTCACTTCTTTGATTGAAACAACCATGAAAATGAAACAGCAAGAGAGTTTTAAGGTCCAAAAGGAGCCTCTGGGCATCCCAGATGAGCTGTGGCCCTGAGTGGATGCTCTGTCTGCCACCCTGCCACACCCAGGCTGTCCCACACAGCCTGCAAGCCCACACACAACCTGCTGTTGGCTCCTGAGCTTGGAACAAAACATCCCAAAATCTCAGCAAAGCCATTTCACACTGCACAGCAGGCAGCTCTCCTCTCCAGGATGATGTCAAATCTCCCCATCTTGCTTGGCAAGGGCATCCTGTATTCAGGATCAACATCTTAGAAGCATGAGACAGGGAATAAAAATAAAAAGTGAGATAGAAATGGGTTTCTGCCTGAGGCTGGCCTGGTTGCCAGCAGGAAAAGCTGTGTCTTGGTGTCTGGCACTCTGTCACTGCCTGCCCACACACCAGCAGACAGATTGTTTCTCATTTAGTTGGCTGCCATAAAAAAGAAGCCAAGCTGGGAGTGAGCCTTCCATCCTTAAGCAGCAACTTGGGAGCAGGACCTGGATTTTCACTTACACAGAAAAACAACCATGGGTGGCAGACTGTGTAGCTCTAAGATTAGAAATACTCAGCCTTTGGCAAATCAATTCTCTCAAGACCAGCAAAATTAAGCCATGAGGTCCCAAACTAGGGTCAAATAAGGTACTGGTGAAGGGTATGAGACCACTCTGCCCTTCTAAGGATTCCCAGGACAGAAATGGTGTTGAAGTATGAGACAGGACAGGCAAACTCCCACCAAAAAAAAAAAGGGAAGAAGCTCCCAACTGAAAGCCAGAGGTCAGGAGATTGAGGAAAAGGTGAACCAGCAACAATTTCTGTCTCAAGGTTCACAAGCATGAGAGTAAATCTGACAGTTGGTACCAAGAAGCAGACTGAGAATCAGAGCTGTGTGTGGAGACTGGAAGTTGTAGGGGACATACCTCTGAGAGCTCACATCTGGATATGTCAAGGGTGTCATCAGCACCAGCTTCTTTTGCCTGGAGAGGGAAGAAACACATCCAGAGAATCAGAAATACAGCATCTCTTGCTGCATCTTGCCCAGAGAGTTTGTGGACTCCCCATCCGTGGGAGGGCCCAAGGCCAGGTTGGACAGGGCTTGGAGCAGCCTGGAACAGTGGGAGATGTCCCTGCCATGGCAGGGATGGCACTGGATGGGCTTTAAGGTCCCTTCCATCCAAACCAGTCTGGGATTCTGTGGTTCTCTTCTGAAGTATTTTCCATGTTCAAATCAAGTCCATCCAATGCAGCTGCTAACAGTGATGAACCTGGACAGACACCACTAACCCATGTCCCCAGGTGCCACATCTACACATCTCTGGGTCACTTCCAGGGATGGTGACCCCATCACTGTCCTGGGCAGTCTGTTGCAATGTCTGACAATGCTTTTCAAGAAAAAAAATAGTCCCAATATCCACCCTGAGCTCCCCTGGCCCAGCCTGAGGCCGTTCCCTCTCCTCCCGTCCCTGTTCCCTGGGAGCAGAGCCCGACACCCCTGCTGTCCCCTCCTGTCAGGGACTTGTGCAGAGCCACAAGGGCTCCCTGAGCCTCCTTTTCTCCAGGCTGAGCTCCTTTCCCAGCTCCCTCAGCCTCTCCTCATCCCTTCCCCAGGAGATTCCCTGTGCCAGAGCATCCTGGTGAAATCCAGGAAAACAAACAGCAACATCTAACGAGTTATATCTACCAGAGTGACAGGAAGATCAGAACAATGGGAAGCAAAAGAGAGGCACAAGGCAAGATATGATGGGAAATCACAGGTTCCCTGGAAGGAAAAATATACTGGGAGATTTGTAAGGGCAAAGGGGTATGGAGGAGAGAGGAGAGTTGGGGTCCCAGCTGCAGGCTGGCAGGAGGTGGGGTGGGGGATGTCCCATGGAACCACACAGAGAGGGATGGAAGTGGCATGAAGGGGATGTGGGGGTGGGAGGGCAAAGGCAGACAGGGAGGCAGGAATTCCCTGAAGTTCATTAGGGAGAAAACCTGCTGTCTTGGTGGGATCAGGAACACGACTGCTGGTCATGGAACATGGCTACAGGTCATGCAGGGGATGTACCAAACCACCTGGAGCCAGGATCAGGCATGGAGAACAGCAGTGACCCTGGCAGTGCTTACCAGGCACATCTGGTACTCAAAGCGTTTGCGAGCATCATCGCTGGGTTTCTTCTTCCTGGAGAAGAGAGGCATCTTCAGTCCTGACTCTGGCTCTGTCCAGGGGCAGGGATGGTCAGTGCAGAGAAAGGCTGAGGGATCCTGGGCTCTGTGTTTGCTGGGGAGCCTGGGCTGCAGAACTGGGACCTGGGTGGAGTGGGGGAATAAAAAGAAAATAATTGTGTCAGCAAATGTCTTTGTTTAGCTGGATCACACAGGTTCCAGCACAGGGAAGTCCAAACATGAGGCACTCAAGCCCTGCTGTGGTCTGAGTTGTGCTGTGGTTGGTTGTCTGGGTCAGCCCTAGGATAGGCACAGGGAAAGGCTGCTGAGAGATCAGAGAAATGCAGGGATTCCACTGGTTTTAAATTCCACTCCAGGAATTAAAAAGCTGTATCAAGAAATCAAGCACCAGGGATAAAACCCAAACTATTTAAACTCACAGTCGATTCTGGCACAGTAACAAAGAACTAAGAGCAAGGATTGCAGCTGGTTCAAGTGGAAGGGAAGTTGAACCTGAGAGAGGAAGGGTTGGGTGCTAGAAGATGCCTGGTGGAATCAGCAGTGGCTGAAGGGGAACATACACCAGGCAGCTCTGGGATGGGGCTCTGACCCAGCAGGGGAGAAAAAGAAGGTGTTGGCAGATTTTGAGGGAAAGGCAGAAAGCTGTGGCTGGACAAGGAATGGGCAGAGCAGCTGGTAATGAGGTGGTACCAGTGGGGATGCTGGAAAAAGAGATGGGGCCAGTTGAGTAATGAAATCAAGGAGAAAAAGGGGTTTATCTGTGGCTGCATAGGACCAGGGGGCACAAATGGGCAATGCAGAAAGAGCCTGAGCTGGGGCTGCAGGTGATCAAGGGCTCCCAGAGGGACCAGACCCAGGGATCTGGCTTGGAGATAAGACTGGGAGAAGATGAGAGAAGGGCAGGAGGGCAACAGCCACCCCTGAACAGGGAGTAACATTTTAAACACTTGCAGTGACTTTTGTATACACTGTTTTTCTATACAACTTAAAAATCAGCACAAAAGAGCTTCACCAGTGGAGCAGAAACTGGCACAGCTACACAAGACTTAACTCAGGGCTCAGTGGAACTCGGGTGTTGCACATAAAATACTGGTTCTCTGCCAACTCTGTGTCTGCAAACTGGCCTCAAACTCTCCTGAAGAGCAGGTGCCCACAGGATCCAGCCAGGGATGTTCCCTGAGCAGGGAGAGCTCTGACAATAACTGTGAAATCTTTATGGAGATAAATCCTCACTGTAAAAGTAAAATGACTCAGTATAATTCATCCTTCTTTCTTTCACTGCAGAAACAAGGAGGCAGAGACATCCTGAGTCACTGTCCTGCTGTCACACCACTCACTGGGACAAGCCATGGGCCACAGCAGGAGGTGGCTACAAACTCATCTCCAACAGTTGTGTGGCTCTTTCCCTGCCATGCTGATTTCTGCCTCTTTAACCAGTTCAGATTATTGCAATGCTGCCCACACCCAGCTCCCAGGAGGGGAGAGCCAAAACTCAGAGGGCTGAGCAGGAAGGGAAGCTGACTGTAAGGGAAATGCAGCAACCAAGGGCAAGACATGAGAGGCACAAACAAAAGATTTAAAGATAAGAAAGCAGAAGGAATAAGATACTGCCTGCAATAAGATATCCTTGAACTGATGGCCATGTTCAACTCTGCTGAACATTCCTGCATCCCCTTGTCCCACCTCACCTTTCCCTATTCCAGCTGTTATCTCCTTGGTCATAGGGATAGTGGGAAATCATCAGTTTTCACCCAAGAAAATGGATAAAGACATGAAGGCTGAAGGGCAGTGAACAGGAAAAGAAGTGTACCAGGCATCAGAAGATGAAGGATCAGAGATTTGTTAAATGAACAGCTTTTAAAAGTGGAAATTTGCTTTAGTGAAGACACATCAAACTCAGCAGCCAGGAGTGAGAAAGGTCCTTGGCATGTGACCATTACATGATGGAATTTTTATTTATTTTTCTTTATTGAATTACTGAAAGAACTGCCTGTAAGTGCCCTGGGCCAGCACCCACATGGCAGGCAGTGAGCACCCATGGACACCAAATCCTGATCCCCGATCCTGATCAGGCACAAGCTCTGCCTGAGGAGCAGCCACACACTCAGGGTGGAGAAAGGCACAGGAATGTTCTCTGGGTGTTTCCCAGTCTGCAGCTGTTGCCGTGATGACAGCAAAATAAAACCAAACGCTTCATTTTACTAACAACTGTAATTAAAATGTGGCAACACAGCTCTGGAAGAAGCCAATTTTCAAAGAATTCTGAACACCATCAGTCCTTCTGGGCACTGTAAGGAGACAAGGTGAGTGTGTGGAAAGAAGAGATTTTTTATTTAGTCTGGGAAAACACACTCAGGAGCAGTGAGCCAGGCTCTGGGGTAGGCACAGAGGAGGCGACAGCTGAATTCTGGAACTCGCTGTCCTGCATCGCTCGCTCTCTGCGCTGGACGCTGCCAGCCCTGCACCAGCCCGAGGCCTCCCCTGGCAATGCCTGCAACAAATCTCTGGTCTTCAGCAGTGCAGCTCTGCCTCTCAGTCCTTCCTCTCCCTCACCATCACTATTCCCTTCTTCGTCTTCTCTCTGCGGGTCCCCGCAGGGTCCCCTTCCCAGGGTCACACAGCTTCCGAGCTCCTCGTCTTCTTTACCTCTCCCTCAGGCAGAACAGCGCCGTTCTGTGCCCGAGGACCCAGAGCCTCGGAAGGATGAAGGACTGAGTCGATATTAGCTCGCAGCCCTCGGGCACCGGCCCGACACCTGAGGAGAGCAGCGACAGTGAGCGAGGGCAGCGCCCGCTCCCGAGCCCTTCCGAGGAGCACCTTTGAGGCGCGGTGCCCGGTGCCAGCCCGCGGCAGCCCCGGTGTCCCACAGCGGGTCCCTCCCGCC